TGATGGTGGACATCACGGGTTGGGCACTGCTAGTTGTGGCCCTCCTACTTTAGAAGAGCATTCTTTGAAGACTCAAGTGCTGGATTTTACAGTCGATCTGACTCCAATCACATCATAGAGTGCTGTTTAGATCGATGCATTGGATGTTTTTAGACTACTCGATTCTTTTCACTATAGTTTGGTAGATTCCAAATGAAATACGGTCTACAATCATGACAAAATGCATGCGAATTGTTGTCAGTGGCAGTTCATGTATTCAAGCTCTCTTACTAACCTGCTTTCCGCCCCGGAAGCTGGGGCATAACATTTAATTAAGCTGAAGGAGGTGAGGTCCTACTTTATTCTCACGTATTACATGCATTTAGTACTGTCTTCACTTTCCACAAGAGCTCGATATTTGAAGCGGCACGTCCCTCAAACTAATCTTATCATGAGAACATCCACAGACTTGTGAGAAGCACACGTATCAGTCGTCCATCCAAACCAACCGCTGATCTCTTTCACTAGAACATCCGCCGCCCTCAAGGCACAACACGAGCCTGATAAACCCTCCCCGGGGATATCGGGTATCGTCTCACCCCATCTCTTAAGTCCCGGACTATATTTCCACCAGCAACAACCCAATTGGACAGCATCACGGTCATGCGGGGAAGTGGGACCGCGATCGTTCACGCGGGGTACCATGGAGGAAGACTCCACAGTTGATATAGACGGAAATCCCATCAATCAAGAGTACCTCACTACATGAACCGTTGGACCCGACGCCACTCTAGCTTGTGCCATTAAGTATTATCGTCGAGTGTTGACTTTAATTTTGTGCGGACTTCGGGGGAAGAGGCTTGAGTAGGCGGGTAATGATATTTTGGCAGCATTAGATCATCCACGTGCCGGAGGCGGTATTAGGATCCTTGCATGATGGGGAAGTTGCAATTGTATAAGTATAACTTCATCTGAAGGATTTTTTTCATCTTTTTCTTTTGATTCAGCTTGAAGCCTTTCGAATTGAAACCGGCCCATCATGCGTCTGCAGTCACTTCTACCAATTGCCTTCCTAGGCTCTGTTGTCGCTGCTCCAGTTGCCGATTCGTGGCCATTTGGACCTTTGGTAGCCAATGGACGATGGATACAGAATGCAAAAGGACAGGATGTGACCTATGTTGGGGTAAACTGGTCGGGTCATGGTGAAGCTATGATACCCGAGGGATTGCAATACCAGTCGATCTCCAAAATCATGTCTGATATCAAAAGCCTAGGTGAGAAAGCCTTTGGATATGATAATAGAAATGTAACTAATGTCGAAATAGGCTTGAATGTCATTCGCTTGACATTCGCTATCCAGATGATTGACGAGATTTATGCTAAAGGCGGTGCTGATATTCCCTTGTCAACCGCTTTCACTCAAGCTCTTGGCGCTACAAATGGGAATAGGATCTTGAACCAGGTTCTGGCTAAGAATCCGCAATTCACTGCCTCGACTACACGTCTCCAGGTACGTACCAATGGAACCTTTACTAGAACGATGAATGTAGCTAATGTGAGGCCTATAGGTCTTCGATGCTATTGCCGCTGAAGCTCTGAAGCAGCAAATTTACGTCCATCTTGACAACCATATATCGAAGGCTATCTGGTGCTGTGGAGAGACTGATGGAAATGCGTGGTTCGGCGATACTTATTTTAATGTGGCAAATTGGCAGCGTGGGTTGAAGTATATGGCAACTCATGTAAGTTCAATTAAAACCTATCCGTTTGGAGCATCAAGCTGACTCGGCTCTGCAGGGAAAGAGTTGGCCTGCTCTTACGAGCATTGGCTTGAGAAACGAGCCAAGAAATCCGTCGAACAATGCTGCCGTCGGTAAGCTTTTGCTGGCCAACTTCCCAGAGACACCGCCATTAATACTATGAGCAGCAAGAACTTACAATTGGGAGACCTGGTACAAGAACATGGTGAGTGCAGCTGCGCCAGATTGTCTTCGGATCCATACTTAAAACACAAATCTTCAGATCCCCGCAGGCGCCGGTGTGAACGAAGCCAACGCAGACCTCCTGATCTTCTACTCGGGCATGAACTACGACACGACGCTGGCGCCCATCCCCACGGCAGCCGACCTCGGCGGCGGTCTCCGGTTCCGCAAGACCGACTTCAAATACGCCAACAAGATGGTCCTCGAGATCCACAACTACCAAACCACCGCCACGTCCTGCAACTCCATCACGTCCGGTCTCTACAACGGCGGCTACAACGCCCTCGACGCCTCCAACAAAGCCGTAGTCAACGTCATGCCCGTGGTCCTGACCGAGTGGGGACATGACCAGACGAATGCGGAATATAGGGGGGTGTATCATACGTGCTTGCAGAGTTATCTTGGGGGTCTGAAGGCGGGGTGGATGCTCTGGGTTATCAGCGGGAGTTATTATGTGAGGAGCGGCACGCAGGACTATGATGAGACGTGGGCGTTGTATAATCATAACTGGAGTGGCTGGAGACAGCAGGCCGCTGCTATGGCGATCAAGAGCATGGCGGCCTCTACCGTGTAAAGAAATATTGCCGAGGTGGTTACCAGAGGTGTTGGTCCTCGAGAACCGGTTGAAATGTAAATATCTTACGGTTTTGTCACCTTTCTGACAATTGTTAGCCGTGTGAATCCCCCTAATACCGTTCTTCAGGGTCTATCACCTGATCAAGGACAAGCGAGGGGTTTCCCATAGATTCCGCGAGTAAATGGTTGAAAGGTCGATTTGGATGATATTTGCTTTAGAGAAAGAAGCTTAGCCTTTTTACGATGCATTTGACCCACGTCTCAATCAGTGTGGGTATCCATTGTTAAATTAAAGGGAAAATTAGGTTATAGCTTGGACAATTCCTCTTTCCTTGGCCCAACATATCCAAATAAGTAGGCTGCAATCTTTCTCATCTGGATCTCTTCTGAACCCTCGGTTATTCGGTAGCGACCTAAAGCGAAGTGAGCAAGGGATCCCCCGAGATATTTCAAAGGCTTGAGAGCTTACGGTGATGTCTATAGATGTGCTCGAAACTTAAGGTTCTTTAGCGGATATTTCGTACAAGTCTCTAGGAACGCAGCACTACTTACGGTTTATGTCTCGAGTATCCAATTCCACCTTTTTAAAAAATTTAGTTAACCAAGTTTTCAGCAGGGGAAAACATACCATGAATCTGTATTGCTCTATCCGCCGCTTGAGTGCATAGCCTATTACCCCAGTACTATCATTTCAAGTCAGCCCATCAGACAAAAAGAACCCGCCATACACAACTCACATTACACATCGACACCTTATCCCCCAAATCCCTCTCAATCTCCCTCTGACTCAACCCATCCATCTCGCTAGCCGTCTTCAATATCAACAACCTCAACATCTCAACCTGCGTCATCAATTCCACAATCGGACTAGTAATATCCTGATTCCTCGCCAATTCCTTCCCAAACGGCTTCCGCTTCCTCGCATACTTGATACCCTCCTCAATACAAAACTCCGCAGCACCAAGCGAGCTCGCCGCTTGCCGAAGGCGATTCTCATGGACGAAGGTTTGGGCTATGGGGAGACCGTGGCTGAGTTTGCCGAGGATGGAGGAGTCGGGGACGAAGACGTTGGTGAGGGTGAAGGAGGCGTGGTCGGTCGGCATGTTGAAGGTCCATTCGAAGGATTGAATTGTCAGGCCGGGGGCGTCGCGGGGTGTGAAAAAGGCTGTGATTCCGAGAGCGTCACCGGGTTGGCCCGAGGTTCGGGCGAATATCAAGCAGTGGGTTGCTGTGTGCATTCCTGTTATCCACATTTTGGCGCCGTTGATTTCCCAGCCTTTGATGCCTTCTTTGGATGTTGGTTTGGCATTTGTTGACACTAGACGTCTTGGAGTCAACAAATTCCTTCTCTGGAGGTCGACAAGAGACAGGAGGTGCTTTTGTGAATGATTGCCACATGCAGCTCGAATATACCTCGATTGCGAGAGAGAGAGACACTACTCACTATGCGTAGCATCAGACCCATGCTCCGGCTCTGTAAGCCCAAAACAAAACGATCTTGTTCCATCCAATCTCCCCTCGATGAACTCTTTCTTCTGCTCTGTTCTCAAATAAGCACATGTTTCTATGCAAAACCCGACCTGAAATTCACCTTGGCTTCCAAACCCCCTAACCATAAGCACATCCGGAAAATTCCCTACAACCGAATGCTCATTCTGCAAATCATTCGCCAGATTCGGCGCACTGTTCGCAAGATGCATCCGGATAGCAGCCATCCAGAGATTCCCGCCATTCTGACCGCCATATTCTGAGGGGAGGCAGAAGCGGTAGAATCCTGCTTCGTCGGCGAGGGCGCGGGCTTGGGAGATGAGTGCTTCCCATTCCTTGCGTGGGAGACCTGTGGAATTGTTTTAGTGTGAGAGAGGCGAGGGGGAAGGGGAAGAGGCGGACCTTGATTATCCCAGTCTGTTCGTGAATGCTCTCTCCTATGATCGAAGAATCGTTCGTTGTCGTCGGCTGCTTGTAGAGGTGCGATTGTTGCAGCTATGAAATTATCGATCTCGGCAATGTAAGCTATGAGATCTGGAGGGAGTGCGAAGGATATTGTCCCGTGGGAAGGATTCGGTGACATTTTATTAGGCTTTTCGATTTGCTGATATTACGAACGAATTACTCGGAATGAGCTCCAGTAATGAACTCTTATAGAATTGCATGAAAATGTAAGTGTTCCGAACCTAATGCATGGTGTAAGTGGCAAGAGCTTGCGGGGTAACGAAAAGTCTCGGAAGCGAACCATTTTAACATCGAATGTCCATCTTGTGAAGAGAAGTCTTTGAACCTTTTTTGTTTTCATAGCACCAAGGTCCTCGATAGTTTTTAGACATAAGAGCGATCAATTCATTTTTCGATCACGATTGTCTCTTTTTTACTCAACTGCTCTTCGCACATTTATGGTTTCTTTGTATGTTGATATATTGTTGTTTATGCTTTCCTAATCTATCCGATCCAATCAGATCGCGAAACGGCCTATTGGTGTAGTGGTTATCACGTCACTTTTACAATGAACTATTTATTAGATCAGTGAAGGTCCCAGGTTCGAAACCTGGATGGGTCAATCTCTTTTTGCTTTTCTCACTCATGCAAAGGTCTCTGTCACCCTTGGTTTTTTTTTACACGAAATGATACTTACTTGGCATATAGGATTATAGTTTAGTGATTAGCGACGTTAAATATTCGGATTATTTCATTATTCCTGAAACTAGGAATATACTAGAGTTCTTGAATCTGGATAGAGGTTGCAAGCAAGATGTGGAAGGCGAGAACAAGATCATTTGTACTTTGCTCCCCTTTTCTTGGCAAAAACCCCCCAAAAAAACACTCGCAGACATTTTTGCCTCGGCTCACGTGATACCCCTGCTCTGGCACCTAGCATTCTTCCCACCCGTGATAGAAGAAGCAAGAGTCTGAAAAGACGGGGTCCTGACTTTGCAGAATTGCCAGCGTACCTTAGGTAACCTGTCACCATCCTAGCTGCAGTGATAGACCGGTCACTTCAAAGCATTGCTCCAAACAAATAGCGCGTCTTCTCGCGGGGCATCAGTTCCAAGCCCCAAGTCAGAGTTCGACAAATCTACCGTTCTAGCGCCCGAAATGACCCTCGCTTACCCGGATAAGTAGAACTGCATTTTAGGCGGTCGAGATTTTATTGAGTGGTCGAGATAACGAGCATGTGGTTTACAAATCGTTAATTTCGCCTGCTATGCGTGCCACGGTATGTATTCCCAACAAGTCTAGGTAGTGATTCTAGATCCCACATAGGATATCAATCGTAACCCAACCCAAAAGATCGAGGGGCAAGTAAGTGGATCCTCAGACCAACGGGAAGGAGCTTCTGATCCGATAACATATTATCTTCGTGTCACCGACCACCATCAATACCTCAACGTCAAGCGCAGCAAGGGAGATGTTTTCCGAGCCCCTCAGAACACTCATCAAACGCCGTCCCTCTATCCCATCCTATGCATGCCCAAATGCTATTCCGGACTCCTAAACCCTAGAATCCCCTCTCTAAAATACACTCAGATAACTCGTCTCCTCCCTCCTCTTACAAAACAATATCCTCCCTTCCCCAACCATGCCCTCCAAATCCCCCTCCCAAACCCACCTCATACTCTCCTCGACCCTCTTCCCCACCTCCTCCTCTGTCACCATCGCCCCGCCATCGCCCTGCAGCGCCAGCAACCGTCCCTGATTCCTCGACCGTCTTGTCAACTCATCGCAGCGCGGCCACCTAGCCTCCTCCCACGCCCAGAGCGCCCACGAGATATCACTTGCAGTGTGGATGAGGTCCGGGGAGAGAAGTGTGGAAAGGAGATGCACGTCTTCGATGGCGAAGCCGGCGCCGGCGTCGAGATGGGGGGTTGCGGCGTGGGCGGCGTCGCCGAGGATGCAGAAGCGGGTGGAGGGCGAGTTGAAGGTGCGGATGGGGAGGGTGTCGAAGAGGGCCCATTTTTCGGGGTCTTCGATGAGCTTTCGTGTCTTTCGTTAGTCCTATTCTTCAAGGTGAAAATCGACAGGGCACGGCAGGGCAGGGGGTCAATATACCTGGAGGATTTTAACGATCTTGTCATCCCAGCCGTGGAAGTCCCTTAGTATGGCTTCGCGAGTACTAGGGATTACCCATTGTCTCTGTTTCCATGGAACACCCTCGGCGTCTCGAAAGGCGACCACGCTTAGTGCCTTCCCGTTTCTTATTGGATGTGTGAGGATATGTCCTTTTGGCCCCACGAACATCTGTCTATCTCGGACGTCCTCGCCGACTGCCTTGATCGCCTTCTTCATATCGACGACTTTTCTGTATGCGTACTTCCCACTATACACCGCATGTGCACTTGCGTCGTTTTCGCCGAGTAGGATCCGTCGACAGGCAGATCTAATGCCGTCACAGCCAATAACCGCATCGGCGTATGCTTCCTCGCCATCTTCGAAACGCATTCTGATTTTCTCCGTGGCGTTGTCCTCGTCTTCAATCACATCTATCACCCTCTTTCCGAATTTGACCGTGACCTTCTCGCTCAATTGCGCCACCAATTGATCTAGGAACTGTACTCTGGAGGCGCTGCCATACACGAAGTCATCCCCAGTCTCGACTTGCTTGATTAATCGCCCCGTCTTGCCTGAGCGGATGTCGTACCAGACATGCTGTTTCTCTGGGGAAAGATTCGTTGTCTTGACCGCCGAGTACGCCCCAATGACCTTCGGAGAGATCAACTCAAGCGCTCGAACGGCATTGGGTCCGAAGCCTACACCAGCAGATATCTCGGAGAAACGAAGTCGCGATTCGAAAATCGTCAACTGAAGTGCGGGGTTCTTTTCGGTGAGGGCGAGGGCGAGAGTGACTCCTGCTATGCCGGCCCCAATGATTGCGATTTGAATTGGTGGTGGTGACGGGCTCATGATTGTGAGTGTCTATCGTGACGTCGAAAAGGAACAGCCTAGCAGGAGGGGCAGAAATCAGATTTCATCGTGCCAGGAACCGTACAGATATTGCTTGACGATCTTCTATGACGCGGTGCCTGAGACGCAGATGACTAGCAGACTTTTCTCTATCTGGCTGCATTTAGGGCGCCGAAGTCGTATGATCCCAACCCACAATCATACGACTCCATCGTTTGTGCAGCGGCAGTTGGCACGACCTCTTCCGAGTGGTCTGTTTTCCGGCTGGGGCGAGATATAGACTCATACAGCATGCATTTACGAATCTCGATCGATTTTGGAAATCGCATGAGACCGGACTACCGCACTTTGTGTGGGATGCACTTTGCTGTCTCTCTACTCCGTATGGTTCCATCATCTAGGGGCCATGTAGGATATAAGGGTTTAGGAAATTCGAAAAACGAGCGTTGGTTGGAAGAAACTTCTCGAGCGGCAAAAGTCAACCTCCCCGCACTTTTCGGTGGAGAAGAGCCATTGCATCTGTCATGTAATAGTCTGTGCCCCTCCCCCGAGGGACTACGGAAGGATGTCAAAGGAGACATGGAGCGGAAAGAGAGGACAACTCGTCCAACCAATCGAGTCGTTCAGCACGACGGTACTGTACGAGTAAGGAGGGACCAAATAGCAGCAGTGTTTTGCATCGGAGGACAACTCGTCCAACCAATCGAGTCCTCTCCCCCTAAATGTAACTGGCCAGGCTGGCATAGACCGAATATGATTTAAAAGGATGAAACAAACAAACAAGACAGAATATGATAGCAGTGACATTGAATTAGGGGGAGAGGACGAGTAAGGAGGTAAAAGAATCCAGTCAAAGAAATCTAGGTAAAAGAAATCTCGGCCATCACGGAGGTACTTCCGGGCCGGTTGACAACGTGAAGCCAAGCGAGACAAGACCACGCCAACGGCCATCTGAGAAAACAATCGTCGCACGCCGAGTCATGGAGGTGAAATGAAATACTCTTTACTCGGTTCAGTGTTCACAGACCCAACCCGTCCATCATCAATGGTCGACTGTAGGCCATGAATGCGACTCTCCTCCCCCCGCTCACATGTGGTCTTGTGTCTTGTGGGTTTCGGATGGTCGCTTGGCGGTTTGACATGGAGGCGTGTGTGACGGATCTTCCTGATTCTCTCATGAACGTCGCGTTGAAAAGATCCCAAGATCCTGCATGAGTCGTGCGAGTTTCGAGTCTCGAGTCGACAACGCATCGGCCGAATTCACGAAGTGGGACTCGGTCCTCCGTCAACTCGATCGATCGATCGGAGATTCTCTCGCAGACTCGTGGTCGGAGTCGTGGAGCAGGACACGAATACGGGAGCTTGTGAATTGAAGTGGTGAAGTGGTGAGGTGGTGAGTCCTGAGGGATTCGTCTGCTTATCAATGGTGTGGATGGCCAGTCACCAGCGCCATCCTCACTCTACTTCGTAAGCATAAATTCACCTGGGGGGAGGGGCACACACTTATTATATCATAGCGAGGCGAACCGAGTATTAAAGACGAGGCCAAGCGGTGTCCGATCTTTTACCCTGGTCACCTGACAGGATCGCACGTGTCCTGCTTGTAAAATGAAGGTGGGCTAAAATTAAGGCCACATCACATGATTTTCGGAAGGTACATCAATCACCTGGATAACTCTGACGGTCCACCATTGGTCAAGTACCATCGCGTCATTTACATTTATTTACCCCTACGTATACAGCTTGTACGTTGTACAACGCAGTAGTCCCCGACACTCCGTACCAAGTACGTCCGTACTCCGTCATGGATCCAATATCTCGATTTCTCGAGGGTGCTGTCACGTGACTCATGTCACCTGAGGAGTCCCCGTGCCCACCTCGCTGCTGTGACCCGGGTGGGGCCGTGACCCGGGATTAGGAGTAACCTCGCAACTGTACCCACGTACTCCGTAATACTGTAGTCTACCCGTATCGCTGCAGGTATTTAAGGTCTTCGAGTGCACCGCCCCGCCCATCTCGTCACCGCCTCACGCGTTGTACCCCGTCTGCACCCGCCTGATGCGTGCATCTCTTTTATCTCATCCAGGCATTCCTTACAGCCCTCCGGAGTCCGGTCACCAGCTGGCAAGGCGTGCAGTGGCGGCCGCAACGCGAGATCCAATTTGCCCGTGGTGCGGTCCGTACGGAACATCCCTCCCATCGGTGTCTCACGTCCTCTTCTGGCCCCTTGGCAATACCATGGGAAGGGCCTGGCCTTGTCGTCCGCCGTAGACCCCCGACAGGGCTCCATAAATCTGAAGTGCTGGACCCAACTGACGAGCCGGATCTGGTCTCTTGACCAGGCGATTGGTCAACCCCCCTAGGATTCTCGACTTTATGTGGGCCCATTGAACATATACCTAGTATTACGGCCTGTAGGCAAACGGCCTCGACCGTCTCGACTTCAGCCTCAGCCCTCGAGGCGTCAATCACCTCAAATAAGGCTTGCTGAATGTCCGGTGGCCTGTTAGTGCATCTTGGTCCAAATCACCTCTGTCCAAATCATCTCATTGGCTGACTGCCCGCCCGGGCTGTGCAGACTACATATCCCTTCCCTCCCCTCTAATCCCTTATTTCGGTCCTTCGCCTCCCCTTGAACCCGGCCTGCCTCATCCACCA